CAGTCCCCGAAGTTGCAGAGGGAGGGGGAGGGGGGCATGGCAGCTAGGCACCGGAAGGGTGCTACACCTGAACACTTTCTCTTTTCCTTTCTTTCTATCTGTAAGTGTGTAATTCATGTGTTGGGATGCTACGCCAAGACGGCAAGACGACTAGAGTCCTTGGCCAAAGCTTTGGGCTCAAATGCCTGACCAAAAGGCGGCGATGTTTGGAGGGAAATGCATGTGCATTACCATTTCTATGGAACTAGTTACCACACATGACCCAACCCCCAACCTGGAGGACCAGGAGGTTGGGTCAGAACACTGACCAAAAGGCGGCGATGTTTGGAGGGAAATGCATGTGCATTACCATTTCTATGGAACTAGTTACCACACATGACCCAACCCCCAACCTGGAGGACCAGGAGGTTGTGTTGGTCAGAACATTGAGCAAACTGGTATGAGACTCTGCGCGCACGGACAGCCAGCTCACTGGTTCACAGATGCGCACGAACCACCAAAGTACGGTCAGGTTCAGTCTCTTCATGAGAGGCTGGTCGGTTGCATTGTGTTTCGATTGATGGATGCTCAGCTAGTTTTTAAGTCTGGCTAAGCTAGCTCCTAACTGATGGTCCTGCTTCTATTAGCTCTAGAGTGGATCCGTTCCGCTGAAGCTGTCCGACTAAGTTGCTGATTTTTAACTTACGTAAGTGTGTAGATTAAGCTCAGCGTGATATGTTGCATTATCGACTTTATCATGGAAGGGCACGGCTCCGAGTCCTAAACTTCGGCTCCTCACTATACCGCTGCGCTCTAATGGTGTCACTGCGATCGACAACGAAAGATCTGCAACGAAACTTCTGAGCTCGGAGAACAACCCACTCATCAGAACCGATTCACACTAAACAAGTATTGACCGAAGTAAGGGATTTGGTTGTCGTGGAGTCTGAAAGCGGTTATTTGAGTTAAACATCGAAATGCTCCTAAACAGGGAAACGAGTGAGAAATGGGTCAATCAGATAATAGATATGCCGCAAGGCGTGTGCTGTCAGGTGAGACATTTACTAAAGGTGTAGAGCACGACTGGAGGCTACGATCCACTAAGAAAAAATAAAGGGTTGGCTTCCCGGTTAACAAGTAGAGTCAAACAACTGAGTTTCGTGAAATCTGAGCAACTTACGCTAACTTTGTTGCGAATGCTGATATTCAGTGACATGTTAATTTAGCCGAATATGAGCTGAAGGGTAACGATTACGTTTTAACTTAATTAGTTGTAGTTTTCGTAAGCACTTGCAACTGTCTGGCCACTGTAACATGATTCAGTCTTCAGATTCCTGATAGTTCAAACGATGCCACAAAAATGTTTTGCTTCTGGTTTGCTCGAACTCTTTGTAGCTAATTTAAGTGGAATTCAGAATGTCGGACACCACTAAATCCAGTATAGTTGCATTTTCTGGTACAAAAACAAGGGAGCCTAACTTGGTCCGATAATTTGATTTAGGGGTATTTGAAACAGAGTTTTGGCTAATGCTTCCATGGTGCTGGGTTATACAATATAACTATAATAAATATCTGTTCAGCTGTAACACCCTTCCGGTGCCTAGCTGCCATGCCACCCGGAGGAAGGATCCCATCAACCTAACAACCCCCATGCGATTGCTTAGGCTCTTAGGTGCCTCAGCTGTCGTTTGTGGAAGCACCAGTGCCTGAGGGTTCGGGCCCTAATGCGTCTAACCACCTCATAACTATGGGACGGGTGGCTGCTCTGTCGCTCAAACAACGAGATTATAACTAAAAATGTCCGCTGGTTCCTTTTACCAGGAGTCCAATAGTGGACCTTGTCGCATGTAGACCACGGATGAATTGCTGCAAAGTATGAAATGATGAAGCTACCATCTTAGGGGTGCATTGCCGAAAATGTGTTCAGGAAAAAAGTTATTGGTGGCAGGACCGACGTACCAGTAGGGCAACAGTACGGACTTTAAAATCCCTGTTTTTAAAACACTGGAATGCCATTTTGAGGAGCATTAAACAACGAAATACTTGTACAATACACTCGGAGATTTCAGTTAACGGCACAATACATCTTCCCACTGTGAGACACCAATATGTATTCCTGGTCAGTGTGATTCCTGATGAAGCGGACTAAAAACAACTTCTCTGCATCAATTTAATCAAATTCTCGCTGCATCCGAATACCTTAAATAAAGTTCGTGAATTTCTGGTGTATTACCTCGCTTCACCTGAATCGAATGTTAATTGTGTTCTTTATACATTCGTTAATGGCATACGTAACGTGTTAGTTGTCTGCTGGTGGCAGCCCACAATCCAGATGATTACGAACAAAAGATGACGGGTTACAATGAAAACAAAAAGTTACTATGCCCCTAATGAATATCGAGTAAGTGTAGAAGTTTGACCCTACTTTCACATTTTCACTTCGCTTGTGGAGATTTGCGTCTTTGATGGCGGTTTAGATCGGAAAACCCTGTAGCACAAAATTTGTACCACGAAAGCGGCGCTTGTTCGTGGGAGGTTTCCGATGGGGGAAGTACCACACCTTTACTAGAAGTCAACCAAGCTCATCCATTGTTCCACTTGGTCACGGACGGCACAAAAATCATTCCAAACGACGAGCATTATCCACCAGCCAAAAGCGGAGTTAAAATCACTCCATTCAACCTCCATCAAAATGAAAGTTCCCTGTATATCTACTTCGAACGCGTCTTCAAAACTATTATACGGTATAACGGATCATCAAAAAGTACGGTTATTCGATTTATGTGGTGGAAAAGTAACATAGAGGATAATTTGTCTGTGCACCTACACAAAAACTTACTACACGGATTCTGGACTCCGGCCACCATGTTCCAGGAGGCTAGAAATCTGTCCTGTAGTGGGATCGATGATTGTGTCACCACCAGCCAATAAACCTGACAGGCCAACAGATCCAGGCCAATTGGAAAGTGCACCCAAAATAGGTGGTGGTAATGCCATATTTGGGAACAGTCCTGCAGCACCTGTCGCATTGGGCCCAGTGAGCAACTGATTTGGAAAGCCAGGAGGCGGTATTGTGAAGGTGGCTGCACCCTCTGTCTGAGATGTAGCAGCCGGATAACCAGGTGGAGGCTGTGTGAACGGAGCCAACAACCCCGACGCGTTAGCTACGCCGTTGATAAGAGCAGAACTGGCATCGGAAGGGTTCTTTTGTGTCAATAAACCAGCAGCTCCACCTCGGTTTGTGGTTGCAGCGTTACTCAAATTAATAACGTTAATGTTTGCCTGTTTGAAGTTATCGTAAGCACGAGCGTTGGTGCCTAGCCCGCCTGATCGCAATCGCTGGAGAAGTCCAGTACCTCCAGTGGCTAACACAGGTTTGATAGTCGCATTAGCATACTCTTGTCTCAAAATCTTCTGTTTTTCACAATACTGAACCCAAGTTTCCTCCGTGAATCCATAATTGAAATAGTCAGTTATGTCAGCCCCCGGGCGTTTCCAGGGTTTGTCTTCCTCGCCCAACGTAGATAAATTAAATTCAAGCGTAGGAACACCGTTGATGTCTCCAGGATCATCCAATTCTATGCCCTGCCGAGAGGCTTTACTGACTGCAGAAAAAGGATGGAAAGCAGTCAAGAAGTCACAACGGGCGTAAAATGGACAGGGTTGAACTTTTGGCTGAACCCTACATTTCAAGATGAGTTCACAAGACTGCAATGTGGGTGCATTGTTGTTATTTGAGTATACTTATGGGTTTGAGTTGTCGTTTTGACCAGCAAACCCATCACCACCAACGAGTGCTGGATACATTTCTGTGACTGCTCGTGAGGCTCAAAAGGACAACGGCAGAAAGTGAATTATTTGGCACAACGTATAACTTTACCGATCAAGGATACAGACAGTCCTTCTTGAGGGACGACCTGGAAACATCTTGAGGGCGTTAGGGAAAGGGTAGATGTTTTTACCGAAATATCTTTAGACGTCCTTCACACTATCAAACTTTTCCTCAGTTTAACGGAAATAAGAACGGTAATCAGTTATTCCTAACCACACCTCTAAAAACTGCTCGTCTGTAACACCTTTTCGGTGCCTAGCTGCCATGCCACTCGAGGGAAGCACGAAGGCTGGGATACCGCCAGGTTGCCCAAGCCTAGACAGAGGAGGTCTAGAGGCAGAGATCGGGTTCGGACCACGGACCTTCCGGTCAGTAAATTCACGCTCTAACCAAATGAGCCATCCTTGACAGTCTCCATACCCTCAATGGCTGCCTGTTAACAGAAAGAACACTGAGGACAGCTACGAATCACCTATTGTAAGTAGATGTCAGGCTGTTGCAAGTTATTTCCACATGACTCATGTTCCAATAGTTATCCTGTCTCCACGAGCATCCACGAAACAGGGAGGCACTGAAGTCTACTTTCGTTCACCAGCAGTGCAGATTTCTGAGACGTTGGTTTTGAACTTCAGACAACTGATACGCGAGTTTCGCACGCTAGCAGTACTTCACCATCGTACACTGGAGACATCTCACTCACCATGTACAAACGGGCGAACACGTTCAAGCTTGAGTGATGTGATAGATTGGGCATGTGCACCTGTAACAATAGGGAGCTGAATTAAAAAGCTCTCCAAATATGTTCATCAACGCAGTGACGTCTGTCCAGATCAACTGCACGTCAGTGAATGAGGTCTCCTCTTTTCAGAACACCTTCCTTCGATTTCGTTGCGAAGAGATTGTTCGGGGGCCAGCCGTCCCTAATAACCGAACATCACATCATTTGGACGCATGTGTCACGTGCAGGACATGGGCCAGACGTAGGCATGCCCTGATTGGTCAGAATGCCAGCCAATCCGAGCCAAGTACCTTGACTCGACGCTTCTCGCCCCCTCACGGACACTCTGGCACGACCTTGTGGAACACTCTGTGACTACCCTATAAATACAGTTGTAATGATTTTCCTTTGTCTCCATAAAGGGCTGTGTAGAGCTACCGTGCCTTTTGCTATACCATAGTGGGCGGAGCGGGAAGCCAAGGGACCGACACAGAGTTGCACGACCGTTCAGCAAGCTATAACAACTGGCGACAACCCGAACCCACGATGTCAATTTCGGCAGAGCAACTCAAATTAATCTTACAGCAACAACAGAAGCAGTTCGAAGAAGCACAACTGAGGCTTGTTGAATCTCTGATGCACAGCATGTCGGTGAATGCGACAAAAACGGGTGAGCCTCCGTCTTCTTCCGCAGATGCTGCTGCCAGCTCAATTACCGAATTCAATTTTGATGCTGAATCTGGACGAACTTTCGAAAGTTGGTTCAAGAAATATGAAGACATGTTTCAAACCGACTTTGCTCAGTTTGATGATGCATGGAAAGTTCGACTGTTGCTGCGGAAACTGGGGACAGCTGAACACGATCGGTTCACAAATTTCATTCTCCCCAAACTCCCTCGTGACCTTGGTTTCGCAGATGCTGTCAAAATTCTGGCCCAAATATTCGGTGAACAAAGTTCCTTGTTCAATATTCGTTATCAGTGTCTCAAGATTACCAAAAGGGATACTGAGGATTTCATCACATATGCCGGTGTGGTCAACAGAGAATGCGAACGCTTTCAGCTCAGCTCCATGACCGAGGATCAATTCAAGTGTCTCATCTTTGTGGCTGGTCTTCAATCACCACACGATGCAGATATTCGGACCCGGCTACTGAATCGAATTGAACAGGATCCAGAGTTGACGCTTCAGAAACTTACCACCGAATGCCAGCATCTTATCAATCTCAAGGCTGAAGCTGCGATGATTGGACATTCCAAATTCTCTCAGCCTAATATGGTATGCAAAGTAACTTCCAAAAGGAAGTCAAGTTCAAAACGAACTCCAAGAAAACCGCCCACACCCTGTTGGTTTTGTGAAGAATGGCACTATTCACGCCACTGTCCCTACCGGAACCACAGGTGCAGTAAGTGCAGTCGAAAGGGTCACAAAGAAGAATGCTGCAGAGACAACTTCAGGAGCTCGCGCAAACACCGACCCGACAAAAGGACGCAGGCAGAGCCTATGACCGCCACATTCAGGATGAAATCACCTGGTCGACGTAAATTTGTCACATTATGTATCAATGGCACACCAGTTACTCTCCAACTGGATACAGGTTCTGACCTCACCCTGATTTCAAAACGAACCTGGAACGAAATTGGAAGGCCACCAGTGGAACCCACAAAGTGCATCGTTCATAATGCATCTGGTGGAAGCCTCAAACTGACCGGGAAGCTGAACTGTTCCGTAACGTTCAAGGGAATTCATCTCAATGGCACTTGCTACCTCACGAACTACACAGGCCTTGATCTCTTGGGCCTGGATTGGATTAATGAGCTTCAACTGTTGGATGAACCCCTCAATGCCGTTTGTGACGAAACAACTGCAAACGGCCCCGATACGTTCACGAGAACATCACGTCCTGACGATTTTGTGGTCGCTACAGTTACAGCCAAACCGGAGACCAGATGGAGCATACGCGACACAGCGACTATTCAGCTTCTGGCGTCCGGCAGCGGTAGCCCTCTCACCTCAGTGCAATTTGGTGAACCCTCCCAGCAGCCCGCAACGTTTCACCCGCGATCTGAACCGTTCAGTTTACAGTCGCAGGTTCAGGCAAATCGTTCTACTACTATCCGGAAAGTCAAGATAGGGGGGGGGCGGCAGGAGGAACGCCACAACAGTCACACAGAGACCAGCCACCGATTCAAATATATGAGGAATGCTCTCCACGGTGGACGCAGGGTCGACGATGTCAAACACGAGGCACACGTAAGAACATCAGCACATCCGCGTCAAGTGAACCAACTTCAGGCAACAGACTGCGGTCTGGTGAGGGGACCACGTCGCATTGGAAACCGGACAGCCGTGACATACCTCCCAAGTGGAGGGTACCGGATTCCAGATCAGCATGCTGGCAGCCCCAGGGACGGACCGACGTGCGACAGAACCTCCATGAGTCGTCACAGTGGAGTTCAAAGCAGCAGTCGGTTGGACAGCCCTCTCAAGTGGGAGGTGTTCGGGGGCCAGCCGTCCCTAATAACCGAACATCACATCATTTGGACGCATGTGTCACGTGCAGGACATGGGCCAGACGTAGGCATGCCCTGATTGGTCAGAATGCCAGCCAATCCGAGCCAAGTACCTTGACTCGACGCTTCTCGCCCCCTCACGGACACTCTGGCACGACCTTGTGGAACACTCTGTGACTACCCTATAAATACAGTTGTAATGATTTTCCTTTGTCTCCATAAAGGGCTGTGTAGAGCTACCGTGCCTTTTGCTATACCATAGTGGGCGGAGCGGGAAGCCAAGGGACCGACACAGAGTTGTACTACCGTACATCAAGACATAACAGAGATTGAATTTGAGTTCGACGGTAACCGATTGGGCTGCACTGGAAGATGCTTAGTTAACATCCATAGAGTCACTACAATTAGCTGGTCAACGGAGAAAAAGTTGGAGCAAGTGTGGGAGTTTTCTCCTTAAAATTTGGGCCATACAAGTAGTCTCATGCCGATCACCGCTGCTTTGTGGTCAGGCTTTTGAGTCAAGAGGCTCGAGATGGCTTAGCGATTAGGGCGCCAGCATACGGACCGGACGTTCCGTGGTTCGAGCACAACCTTAGCATCTCGACTGCTCCGGTCTAGGCTTGGGCAACCTGGTAGTATCCCAACCTTACTGAATTCTTACGTTAGCATGGCACTACGCACCGAAAGAGTGCTATAGCTGAACGATTTTTTATTTATTTATTTTAGTCAAATGCTTTGATTGAGGACTACAATCACCCCTGTCCAGGTTTGGAGGCCCTGAGTATATATCAGCTTATATAAAAGTTCATGAACGAAAGTATCTTTATATCACACCAGCCGTCAGGTAGTGACACCAGCCGGGTCGCCATAGCCGATGCACGTGACAGAAACAAGCGAAAGCATGTAACTGCTTATGACTCCCATCTTTCTCCATTGTTACCTCTTAACTCCTCCCCTGTCCATGTATATAATCACTCTTATGTAGACCCCAGCTGCAGACACATCAGGGAGGCACGTAAGGTGTTGCTAGTATAAGGTTTGGGAATTGACAAATGGCAGATCACCGCTCACATCTACCGCCTACATCCGCTGCTCAGGTAAAGCCAGATAGGAAACGGTTTTTCTCCGTATGGACGAAACTCATAGAAGTAGGAACAGTGACATGGATCACTTAGGAGCAAAAAAGCAGTAAGGAGGTAGCACGAGCGATTTGGTTCAGTAGAACCAACTTAACCAGCCTATCGCATTGGCCACAACTCCAGGGTATAGTAAACTGGCCATCTAAACTGCCTGTAGCAATGGGTCGATTTTTCAGCCTTGTGTTAGACGGAAGCCAAAGAGCTCTGAGGGAAAACTCCACAGCAACTAAAGAATCAAACCAATAAGCTGTGGCGCACCCCTAGTGCTTAGGTGTCGTACAATTATCCATGTACATCCGTAGACGTGATATGCTAGTGGATGGAAACAGACAGTCCTGGCAGTTAAGTGGTGTTATTATACATAAACAGCACACCCACAGCATATCTGCATATAACCTCCACC